GTATACCCTCATGCGAACTCAACCCAGCACCACTAGAAAGCGGAACACCGGAAGGCGGCAGGAGCAGCTCCACCTGATACACCATGAACACATTCATTCATCTGAACTTATGCGTGTACTGGCTACCTATTAGATCCTGTGGGCTTATTCCCACGTATGGCTTCATCATACTTATCCTCTAGTATTGGGGGCGGGCCCCCTTCTCCTTACATGTACCGCTTCACATATCTGCGGGTGACACGTAGTTGGCTATTCTCATAATTGAGTTGTTTCTTTTGCGCATATGCCTCAACCGCACCCATTCTTTTATCCTAAACGGTTTTAAGGTCATTTTCCTCCTCTGCTCATCTGTGGAGCAACAGAGGAGCGGCCTACTGGTAGCCCAAGAGCGCCTTCGTCTTCTCTTTTCCTATCGTGCTGCATTTACGGCGTGTGCTGCTCGGGGAGAGCTGGGGATAGATGTAGCATTATCTTTTTCAAATTGGTCTGTGTGTTCCTACTTTCGGGCAGGCTGACCGCGGAGGATCAAGTAAGTGCTCAGCAATTTTCTATAGTGATTATGCATGCACCATCGGGACTTGGTTGTGCACGCAGGCAAAGTTATGTTGCAGCAAGAGTTGCCATCAGAGTGCGTTGGAACCCGTGTCATGTCACCGCCTTTTCCTCGGCAATAAGCTCTTGGGTCGCCGGTCCCAGGCAGCCTGGGGACTGGAAGTAGGCCAACTGCCTTTAGTCTTTTGCCTGCACTCCAGCTGGCGCTCGCCATTTAATAGGGCCAAAGATTCTCTTACTACACTTCCGAGACTTCTGTTTCACCTTGGCTTTGTTGATCTGCTTGAAGTCGGCATACATGCGCCACCTCCCATCCCTTCGCTTCACCGACACCGGATTCTGCCCAAATGCGCTAGTTGATTGTTGAACCTTGCTTTTTCTTAGCAGTTCAACTGCTTGCCGCTCCACTGAGTTTGCGGGAGGTGACCTGTTGCTGATATCCCTCCCTTTTACTTACTACGCCTTATAACTCCTTCAATTCTGCGTACTGCTCTTGTTTTTAATGCGTTAACTTGATCGACCCCGCAGAGCTGCTGTCTTCGTAGGACCATCGCGACGGACTGCGTGCAATTCCCCTTCCTCGTTTCCTGGTGTGCTCCAGCAGTGTGGAGGAGCGCCATTGCTCCTCTTCCCTTGGGATATCGCTTCCACTCCACTTAACATAGAGGATGCAAATACTGTTGGAAGCGTTGAGAGGCGCACACTCTCATTACTTGCTGGCAAATAGAACTCGATAGTCTCGCCGAGTCAGCGCACCTGCGCCCTCCGCTGGGTCGCCCACGGCGCGCCAAGGATTATGCCGTGGTGAACTGGTCCAACCATGAAGTCCCATATCAAGGTACTATATGTTGTCTCGCAGTTCCGGCCACATCTTATGGCCATGGTTATGTCGAACCTCGTGTCCTTCCTTCCATCCGCGAAATTTAGTCTCACAGGCCTCGCCAACGAGTAGAGACTTGCACGTCTTTCCTGTGGCATCCGACGTCGATTCCACTTCGCAACCCTGTATCAACGAGCGAGCCTGTAAATGCGCAGTGTCGGTCTTTGGGTGCGGTCGTCACCTCGTTTTGCCCCATCACTGTTATGTCTATCAGAGCGTTTCTCTGTTCCTCTCTNTGGGTGCGGTCGTCACCTCGTTTTGCCCCATCACTGTTATGTCTATCAGAGCGTTTCTCTGTTCCTCTCTTTTGCTCCCCTGGATGCGCTGTTCCCAGTCTAGCATTTCTAGTTCCTTGTCTTTTCATGCGTCGGTAATCTCGAACTACGTAACAAAGGAAGCAGATACGCGCCTCGGTACGTCCTTCCGGCTTTCTGGATACTGAATTTGCTGGCTGCTGCCGGTCACCGCTTATGATCCCGTTCGGCGCTGGTGTGGCATTCATACCCCCACAATCCGTGATTGGCGGGAACCAAGAAACTACCTAGCATCTGCTCGATTGCGGAGACCGTCATATCTGGATGACTCCAAGAGGCGGAAGCTTTCACTAGCACTGTAGATGCTTGTTAAATATTCACTTAGCCTTCAGTAGCCAGCCTGCTGCCAACAAAAAGTACACCTACCAACGTGAGACAGAGCATGGTACAACTCAGCCAATAGATAATGTCCCCTCATGGCTGCCCACACCTCTCTGCAAGTTTTTAATTACTAGAAACATGAATTAAAACTAATTAATATAAGGCGGATCCCCTATAGTAGTTCTAGCCGGCAGTAGCAAGAGCGTTGCATTGAGTCTGCCGGTGTGCTGGTTGCCGAGCAATCCCAGTGGCACCGCAGTGGAGGCACCTGTTGTTAGCCGTTGGACATTTGTTTTGTGATACCTCGACTTTGGGCGAAGGAACACACTTGAAAAAATAGATTTNTGGGAAAACGGTCGACGTCGATGCTCCTCCTGTGCTTCGTGGGATGTGGTCATCGGACGATCGGCAGCTTCAAGAGACAAGCAAACTATCGCCCTCTCTCACAAAGACGAACGAATTGAACGCGGGTAGTTTTATGGCTTCTGTTCCGCATGGTGAGCAGGAAACTTTGACTCGAGTGGCCCATCCAACGCGAGGCAGTCGCTCTCTCCGATCCCGGCACCGGAGAGTACCGCTCCGTATATTGCTAGCTGTCGCGATTTCCGTTGTAGCCATTATAATCTCGTTTTCAATATGCACTGCACTGCGCAAAAGACATCTGTTGGCAGGGGTAGCACACCGCAGCCTGGCTGAAGGCGCATCGGGCATGGATGAAGAGGAGCTTTCTATCGTAGAAGGGTGCTTGGACCTGGAGGAGGAGCTGGGGATTCTCCAGCAAAGGGCGTTTTCTAGCTCTGAAGGTGACTCGTCAAGCCGAGTAATGGGACTGGCTTCAATGCTGTCAGAGGCTGCGGCAGCGAAGGAATCAGTGCAAGAACTCCCCTACGATGACAGGCAGCTGCGCTTCGGGGAGGTGTTGCGGGAGGGACAGAGTGGTTTTGAATCTGATAAGGGTGGTCTGGGACGCATGGGTATTCCTGCATTACAGGCTTATGTTGAACGCCGTGAACCCAGTGGTGTGGACGCTGGTCTGCACCCCGACTCCTGGTTGGAGTCGATTCCAAGCATCAGCAATACGCCTGAAGGAGAGGGAAGGATTGAGTCTCCGTGGGTTCCTTTTCACGAGTCAGAGACTGGAGAAGCGTCAGAGACTGGAGAAGCGTCAGAGACTGGAGAAGCGTCAGAGACTGGAGAAGCGTCATCACCACCTGATACGCAGCGATGGCGTCATGGCGATCTTCGAGAACACCCGTATTTTCGGGTGCCAGTGCTGGAGGAAGGTGTTGTTCCAAGGTATCTTAATCCATCCGTTCTCTTTGATGAAACACGCAAGAGGTTGTCGCCCCATATCTACCTCCTCACGTTGCGGAGCTTATTTTCACGGAAGTCACTCAACCAGCATGATGTAGATATTCTCGTAAATGCCGTTGAACGGCTGGTGACCACATCGTGGCTTCGAAGTCGTAAGGAACCGAAAAGAGAAAGTCCCCAGTATATCGTTGAACACGTGGGTCACTACTTTCTTACATTTGATGCCATCGTGTCGGCTATCCAACTTTTGGGGGAACGTATGCAACTTCACCTGTGGTGGGAGAAATACGCGAGAAGCTTCAATACGGACTACTACGTGTCCCCTGCATTCTCCAAAACTTTGTTTGGAGTAGTGGACTTCAACAGGAGTTTGGCGAGGAGACTTATCGCTGCCGTGGATATGTACAAACGGGGGCAGCGCCCTCCAGCCAGGGAAGTAATTGCGCTGAAGACCTTGCTATTCTGCTCTCCAACTGGGCGCCATCGATTTAAAGCTCCTGAATGGGACCCCTGGCGGCAAGATGGAGAGTCTTCCTAAAGCATGGGCATTTTTGACTCCCCTTTTCCTTATCTGATCAGCCAATATTTGCAGAATGCTTCTTCGATATTTTTCTTTTCCGTTTTTGAATCACGACCGACCCTCACCCAGCTCAGTACTGTAGGGTCTTTGCGTGAACGCAATGACGCACCGTCATGGGGAGTGCCTCTGTAGAATGCACTGCCTGAAGTAATGTGATACTTCTTTCTGACATTGCACGGTTGGCGAGTGTCAACTCATTCACCTGCACTTTAATGTGCAGGGTTCCGCGTCATGTACTGTTGTGTGGTATTAGACAATGCTTGACAAAGGTGTGCAGTGGCACTGAACGCCATACCGTGCGTAAAATAACAGGTCCGGTTTGTCGTTTTCCTTGAACTGTCCACTCCTCCAGCAAGGACTATTTTTTTGCTGTGAATGAGGATGTACAGTTCGGTTTCCTTAAACTTATTGCAACGATACATTTACGCTCACGAAACGAGTTGGTACTGCTCCGATTTTTTTTTTCTACAGCCTTGCAAGTTGTAGAAACAATGATGAGAGATGCAGCAATACTCCCGCTTTAGCAGTGGTANTTTCTACAGCCTTGCAAGTTGTAGAAACAATGATGAGAGATGCAGCAATACTCCCGCTTTAGCAGTGGTAAGATGGCAATACGAGCTTGCAGGCAGCTGACGACCAGCTAAGGCAGATGAATAGTAACTTCGCATACGCGTTCCCTTTAAGCAACCCTTGAGTGGCAGCGTTGACGTCACCGCACGCTTCGTGCACAGAATAGCTCTGCAGATCAATAATAGACGAGGGCGCCTTGCGTACTAGCTCCAGGAATACTAACCATTAGAGACAGCAGCCGTCTTACCTATCTGGAAACGAACGAACACAAGCGCTCCAGCCCATTCGCTCAGAATTACCACTAGGGCCTTGCAGCAATTGCTCTCCATTCTTCAGCCTGCAGAAGGAGGCCTTCATCATACAGAAGCCTTCACAGTCTTCACGTCAACACATCCACGACAAGTTGCTTTTAGGCAGACTTGCCTCATAGCATGAACAGAGGCATAGCCTCTATAGTGGCGCCGCATCAGATTCGCTCGATCGACAGTAAAGCTTACCAACTCCACAAGTGTTTACTTGTCGTTAATATAGGATGGCCTGCCTGCACCCCCAGATAGCTGTGGCTGACTAGGCGCGCCTGCTCCGAAGTCCTTTTGCGCGCGCATACCTCCAAGGACGATGCAGTTTATGTCTCCACAAGTCAAATACATATTGGCGAATGCACAGATCAGGATCAGTTCCGACAAAATCATTGCCGTGTCTTTCACCTTACGCTGAAGGCGGGCATATTGAGGAGGGGGACCAAAAAGTTGCCGCGTTGCTGCTTCCCTCTGAAGTTCGCAAAGTTTCTCTCAGGCTATAAGCCACTGAACCGTGGGGCGTATCTTGAGCCGGCTTCCGTTGGTTATTCTCCCGCAGTGTGCTACCGTGTATGAGTTCTGCACAATATTTCAGTGCAACTAGTCGATGCACTTCTACCTGCTGCGGGGGTGATCGCTTCGTGTCTTCAATTCCTGGTTCCGTCTACGCAGATACTCACATCGAACCATGAATCCTTTCTGTGCGTTGCTTTGCTGGCTCTGTTGGCTGAAGGACCCCATCGCCTGTCACTGTTTCTGTCTGCGATTGTCGGCTGCTGACTCGGTTGTGAACTCCATCACTCTTCGCTCTGTTTCTTCTGGCTGCAGCACGCCGCTACATAGTTGAAAGGGGGGTTCTCCTTGCGGATTTGCCCGGCGCTGTAGCAAGGAAGGTCACCTTCCTCTCCTCTGGGAAGTTGAGATATCTTTCGCTTCCTTTTATAAGGCTTCTGTTTGGAGGAGTGGTTTTGCATACAGCATACAGCGTACCACTGACAAGTATGGATGAGGAAGCCTGGGTTTACACCTTTCTGTATGGTGGGGCTGCTTGCTGCCAACGATCTTTCCCTTATCGTTCAGGGAAGTCGCACTAGGCTGCCGTGGCTTGGGAGATCAGCCTGCTATTGGGAGAGCCATTAGGCTCCCAGGGCTGGCAACCTCAACCCGGGATGCTCTTGTACCGCGGTCTGTTTAACGTCGCTACTTGCATTTCTACATCCTGGAAGGTGGGCTAATGAGGGCCATGTAAGTATATAAAAGCTTTCGGTGATATGAGTGCTTGCATCAAGAAGGGC